AAAAATGGGCAATAAAAATAACAATGTAACTTTCCCAACTCTATTTCATTTTGTAAAAATTCATTTCAGACATATGGAGAGCATTTCAAAAAGGTTTTGGCATGAGGAGCATTATATTGCAAACAGCCTTATATTTGAATCTCAGTTCCGTATCTGTAGTTATGGAAAAGTCAATCACTCTGTTTGAGCTTCATGTATTAAATGAGGAAAGTAAGACATACTGAAATAATGTAAGATTTAGAGAGAATGAGGGTAACGTATGTGGTTTAGTCGGTTAAGTGTCCATATTTGGCTCAGGTCATGATCTCACGGTTTGTGAGTTTGAGCCCCACGTTAGGCTCTGTGCTGACAACTCAGAGTCTGGAGTCTGCTTCAGAGTCTGTGTATCCCTCTCTCTCTTTGCCCCATCCCAACTCACCCTCTCTCTCTGTCTCTCTCTCTCTCAAAACTAAATAAACATTAAAAGTTTAATAGAAAAAAAGAAGTAAAGAAAATGCATATCATAGTTTTGGGCACACAAGTAGAATTCAATTTTCGCAAAAATTCATTGTTGTTATGATTGTTTTTAATGTTTATTAATATGAAAAAGTATTCATACTTCAAGCGACGAATCTAGTGGTTATTGTAAAGAATCTGTTTGAATCATTTTGGGACTATGCACTATGCAAGGCAATGTGTTAAGGGCTAAGAGAGGTACCAATAAAGGGAGGGGGATTGTACCCACTCTGTTGTGAATGTGGGATTAAAAAGCAACTAGAGGGCCTAGCTAGAAAAACAACCAGAACTAGTTGGGTGTCACTTCTGTGACTGAATATAGACTTCTGTGCATTCCGGATGATTCAGCAGACATGGGTGAGGCAGTGGATTTTATCTTTCTCAGTGCATTGTTTGATCACAGGAGATGTGGCACAATGAGAATTGTTCTTGGTCTTTGTCCCTAGTTCGGGACACAGAGCTCTTAAACCCTATGTAATTTCCTGACTGACAGGAGCACCTTTAGATCTAGTGAGGTGATTCTTGATGCACTTAGGTAGCTTTGGGATGGGGGCGGATCTCCAGGAAGACCAAGGCTGGGTTAGAGGGATTCAGACCCACACCTCAGTCTAATCAGCACCAGTGGCCAATGATTTCATTCATTACGTTTATGTAATGCAACCTCCATAAATACCCTGTAAATGACTGGGTTTGCGGAGCTTCCCGGTTGGTGGACATATGGAGGTGACACCAGGGTGGCACACTCTCCTTCCCACATACCTTACCCTAGCCATCTCTTCCAGCTGGCTCGTTCTGAGTTTGTATCCTTTATAATAAATCAGTAACAGCATTGAAGTGTTCTCCCGAGACCTGTGAATTGTTCAAGCGCATTATCAAACTTGAAGGAGGGTCACAAGATCCCCCAATCTATAGCCAGGTGGTCAAAAGTACAGGTAGAAATTTGGGACTTGCAATTTGTATCCGAGGCAGGAGCAGTCTTGTGGGCCTGAGCTCTTATTCTGCGTGCTCTGCATTAGCTCCAGGCAATACAATTAAATTGTATGACACCTGGCTCATGTCCAGAGCATTGAGAGAATTGGTTGTTATGGGAGGGGGGTCCACATACTTGGTGTCAGAAGTTTTAAAGGCAAAGGAAGTAGAAATAGTGTGTAAAAAAATAAAGTAGTATAGCAGATATTCTAGCTGATTCATCTTTTAAAAGAAGTGAAATACTAGGGAGATAAAATTCCAAAGCAATGTGATGAACAGTAGGATACAAAATGATGGGGGCTTTAAATTATTCTTTAATGTTTGTTTATTTTGAGAGAGAAAGAGAGAGAGAGAGTACACACACGCACACGCATGAGCAGGGTAGGGACAAAGAGGGAGGGAGAGAGACAGGATCCAAAGCAGGTTCCGTGCTGACAGCTCAGAGCCTGGGGCCTGCTTCACATTCTGTGTCTCCCTCTCTCTGCCCCTTCCCTGCACAATGATGCGGTTTTGACTAAATAACTTGTTTAGTCATGGGATTTTAATGGTGTTTTGAATTCCCAAGGGGGTGAGGGGTAGGGTGAGATGCTGTTCATGTGATATCCTAGACATTATTAACAAGAGGATGAATTAAAAGTGGAACAAGTATAATGAATAACATAATGGGTAGTCCAAGGAAGTGTCAACCTCTTATCTAGGGTTCTGTCTATACTTCAATCTTTTCCTTCGTAATATGTTTTCTGATCTGTCAGTACACATGTAGCCCATTGTGAAACATTACACTGGCTTATATTTTATGCTAAAATTGTAATGAGCAACATTCCCAAGTCAGCACTACTGACTGTCAAGGATAGTCAGATCTTCCAAGACCAGGCCAACAATGCCAACTTTAAAATAAAGTGCAAATGTCACACAGGCATATAAGGAATAGTAATAAGAAGGGAACTGTCTGGAAAAGAAACATTTGCCTAATAACAACTCTACAAGTTTTATTTGAATTCAGTGATAGAAAAATAACATTTTAATTATGTCTAGAATTAGTCTAAAGAAAGATAATCTTGAAAGGTGTTCTTTCACAATTATGTGGGGAACAGGACACATGATTTGAGAACTGTAGGGACTAAACTACTTATGATATTTCTCAAAACATAAAATTGTTTCATATTTATCCAGTTAACACATAAAACATGCCAAGAGATTAAAATCCCACAGTATGCACTCCCATACATTAAACAGTCAATATCTCTTTTACTAACTTATAATTAATGCAAAGAAAGTTCACACACTCATTTAAGGAGCCAAATTAGGGACACCTGGGTGGCTCAGTGGTTAATCAGCAGCTCAGGTTTGATCTCACGGTACATGGGTATGAGTCCCGCATAGGGCTCTGCCCTGATAGTATAGAGCCTGCTTGGGATTCAATCTCTCATCCTCCCTCTCAGCCCCTCCCCCACTAGCACCCACATGTGCACAGGCACGCTCCCTCCTTCTCTCTTTCTCTCTCTTTCAAAATAAGTAAGTAGACTTAAAAAATAAATAAATGAAGAGCCAAACTATAAATAGTATAAAATTTGGTTGTCTGAGTGCCTTGGATCAACATTTTTTTGCCATTTACTAATTTTGTACCAAAAAAAGAAGTCTTAGCCAGAGTTTTGTTTGTTTCTTTGTTTTGAGACAGACAGAGTGAGAGAGAATGAATAGAGGAGGGGCAAAGGGAAAGAGAGAGGGACAGAGAGAATCTTAAGCAGGCTCCATGCGCAGCACAGAGCCTGACCACAGTTTCTAATAAAAAGATAAAATGATTCTCTACATGAGTGAGAAGATCCCTAGGAAATGTGACATGTAAAGAGACTCACGCTCTAAAGTTTGACTCCTATTTTCAAAGCTCTTATTACCTAAGGCTGACATAAGTAGGACCAGAGAGAAATAGGTTTTCTTAGCAGATTAACATAAGGTCACAAGTTCATCACCGGGGAATGTGTTTGTGTTACACTTCACTCAGAGTGTGTGCTAGGATTTTTCTAGTCATCCCTATTCTCACCTCTCTTCCTCTCCTCTTCCTGATCTCAAGTGTTCATCTGAACCCTCACCCACTATTTCTAGTAAAATATTCTGAGGTTTACAACTTTTATACAAAATATTTGCCCTTCAGAGGACAATGATGGAAATGAAAATAAGAATAGAAAAAGATGAGCAGGTAACTAATCGTTATCATAGTTAAACAACACATACCATCAAGATCATTGTTCTTGAGAAAGCTGAAAACTAAAAAGGAAAACTATTCCCAAACATAAAAATAAAGCCGACAATGAAAAATATATTTAATTTGTAAATAAAAGTAATTAATATCTTTGAAGAAGTAATTAAGAATAAAAATCTCCTGTATAATGAAAATCAAAATTGCATATGGAAACCGATTGTTCTAGAAGATTGCAGAAAAGAAACAAAATTATACATTAAAAATTAATAAGTATGTATCAAGTATTATGTCAGCAGCAAGGATACTAATTTTGACTACTACAGTGCGGTAGTTTGCTGTTTTTTCAGCCAAGAAGAGAAGAAAATAAATTTGCTAATTGAGAGCACTGTATTATGAAATGGTTTCCTCTCGAAACTTATTTCCATTTCGCTGTTGCTACATTCAAGAGAATACACAAATTATATTTGTTGACCTAGTTCTTAGTTAACTTCGAAAGATGCCGTAGTCAGAAGTCTCTTTAACTTCCTGCAGGCTCAGAACAAAAGAAGTGATGAAATCGTTTCCTCTGCATTACAGAAAAATTTGAGACTAGAAACTTTATACCCCATAGAGCTAACAATAATTGCAAGAGAGACATTGGGGGGAAATTAGGAATTATGAAAAAAGTAATTCTGAAGAGCTGAGTTCTCACTAATCACTGTCAGGAAGGCAATGCTGATTAAAAGTGTTCAGACTGCCTTTAGGCCAGAGGGCATTGATTTTCAATTCACAGCACTATCATGTGAGCGTTTCATCTGCAAAGGGCATGACCTAGTCCTGAAGGAATATTTTACATATTTATTTGCCTTGAACTCAACTCAGCCTTTTTTCTTTCACTCAAAACACCCCTGTGATTTCAGGACATCTTTCTCAGGAAAATACATCATCCTTTTAGTGTGGCAATAAAGAAACCGGCAGTCTAGGAAAAGTCTAGTTGGAGTGTACAGAAAGTGGAAATGGTGGTTAAGTCTAAAATATGTAATTAACCCTAGGTTCAATCCACACACTGCAAAAAATGATAATGCACTAAAGAAGTGCTATTCAAATCACAAACATGGAAAATGATTATGTGTAGCCCTCAATGAGGGCTCTGGTATTATTTAACTCAGAGTATCATCAACGATGGTTTAAAGCCGATGGATACACTCTACGATATCAAATCTGCCATTAGCAAACCATTGACTAAAGCACTGTGTAGCTGATACATTGAGATATAAGCAGGTAAAAATTTGGGGATCGGCGCTTAGTGATGAATAATTTATTTTTTTAATTTTACAATTCAAAATAGAAGCCAAAGTACCAATCCCAAACATAACACCTTTAATTAAAAGTTGCAAATTCCACACTGATACTTAACACTGGAGCTGTACATTCATCTTCATTTCAATTTTCAGTGGATCATGTAGCTGAAAATTCACTATCCTCAACCTTACTTTCTTCCTCTGAAAAATGGGTAAAACAATACATAACAGATAAGGTTGCAATGAGGATTAAGTGAGCTAATACATGCAAAGTAGATACCTTGGTACCAAGTAAAAACTCAAATAATAGTACACATCATTACCCAAAAGTTTAGAGAATTAATACATAGAGGAATTCAGATTACAATGAATGTTTGACCACAAAGCCCACCTAATTTCAATTATACCAGCGGTTCTCAAACTTTAGTGTACATAAGAATTTTCCGGAAAGCATATTAAAAATAGTTGCTGGATTTGATCACCAGAGATTATGACTGAGCAGAATTGAGGTGATAGCCATGAATCCGTATTTGTAACAAGCTTAAAAGTGATGTTGATGGCCCTGGTCCAAAGAGCACATTTTGACTGAATCATACCAGTCTCTCATAAAATGCAGGATAAAATGGTGGTGATTGCATCCCTTTCAGAGGGCCCTTTTTATAAAGTAGTAGACAGATATGTGAAAAGGCTAGATAATGTATCTATATTCAATATTATCATTTAAAAATACAGGCTAATGGTTGGTTTTAGTATTGTATTTGGGCAAAAATGCATTTCCTCTTCATTAGATGGAGTTCTGAATCCCCTCCTTTCCAAAACAAAAAATATTCTCAAAACAATCTTGGTTTCCTGAATTCTCTCGTAAGCCAAATAACAGAATTTTCAGAGAAATCTCTAAACAAGAAGATTCTATGACCTGTATATTTAAAAATAAATATCTAATGAAATATACAAATGAACACAATTTTCATGGTAGAATGCTGTCTTCTGTACTGCTATAGATATATAGCATGCTCCATACTTGTAATGATGTCAAAAAGGTCTTGGTAAGGATTTGCACTAATTATTGATTCATATCTGTGCAGGCACTTTTATATGGATGGAGGATTCAGTTAGCCCAGTTTTATATATACTTTGAGGAAAGGATTCAACAAGTCTGCTGAGTAGCAGATACCACCTTTTAAAAAATATACATATCTAAACATATCTATTGATCAAAGAATCAGAGAGAGGACTGACAATAGAAAGTATACAATTAATTAATTAAACAATAATTCCTTCTGTTAAATATGAGACAGGTAATCATGTATTCACTCCTGTCCACCCAAAACTCTTTTTGTGAAGGGAAATTCATCAAGCTGTGTTTTCACAGCTTTTCAACAGTTCTACTTATTAGAAATTTTTCTCTTTTATTCTGTGCATTTTCAATCTGGGGTCCATGCAAACTCCTTCCCCAAAGTAGTTGATCTACGAGGCTGAAATCCTAAGCAAACATTTGCATATCATTGGTGTATATCCTCCATCAACTCAGAGACCCAAAACAGGTTCAGAACCATTGATTTACATCATGAATTCCATCCTCGTGCAAAAAAGTCCTTCCTCCTACTTAAGCTATTGGGAATTTTATAGCCTAAAAGTTTGCTACCACTTTAATATATCAGCTTTCCCATTACTTTGAGTCAGCAATCCTCTCCTCCCTCAATTGACTGGTTTCTTTCATACATTCAACGTTTTCAGTTGTCTACACCATTCCAATCCGATGTGCTTTCTGGATACTTGAAATTTCTCACTCCTCCAGGATTGGAAAACATATATTTGGAGGCATATTAGTAATCACCACATTTTTAGGTGATTGAATTCATGTAGTTAATTTTTCTCTGAATGTAAATCACACCAAACATAAACTAAAATGCAATATGTTGTTCTGCCAGTATTTATTATGATAAATGAAGATGGCACTTTGAAGGGTAACATTTTGTATATTTCCTAACGTTAGTACCTCTTTCTTTGGCCTAATACTTAATTTCATGCTGGAAAAACAAGTCTTTCAACAATTTCAAAAATATTTTACCTTTTCACTTGCTCTGTGTTAATGTACTGAAATGCATTTCAAAATAATTTAGCCACACAAAATAGAAGGGTATACCTTAATTGATACAAACAGGAACCTTCATGCTTAATCTAATGATGTATTCTACTGTTCTTGATGACAAAAAATTTAAAATCTTCTTTCTGAATTTGAAAGAACTTTCCAGGCAAGCTTGCAGCAGCAGTTTTTAGACTGTTTTGTTTCTAAACTCCACATTGTGCTGTAAAGTTAAGTACAACAACACTTGAAGGAAATGAAAATATAAAAGTGCCCAGGGATGACGTATATATTCTAAGTACAGAAACAAATAAAGGAAAAAAAGACAGACTATAAGAACAGAACGGAGAGCAAATAGCCACGGGGACTACTGTTTTCAGGGATACTGATTACAATGCATTGCCCTTTGGGGAACTATGTGTAAGATATTTATTATTTTTCATATTATTTAAAGGTACTAAAACATGTCCTCACATAAAAAAAAGAACCAGAAAAACCTCAATAAAAGTATGTTTAGGTTAACAGTCAATCAGAGTACCCATGAATTCCTCACCATATTCATCTATTGCTCTCTTGGCTAAGGCTGAAAGGAATTCCATATAGAAGTGACTTTTATTGAGGAAAACTAAAGGGCACTAAAGTAAAATGTGTGATGATGGATAAAACTAAGAATTTTGCTCTGGACTTGACACCTTTATAAGATTCATGATGATACAAATCATAATTTTCCTAAATACCATAACACCTTTATTGAGGACTCAACAATGTGACAATCACTGTGCTTAGTATATTCACCCAATTACCTCATTTACACCTCATAACCATTAGATAGGTCAGGAGTTGCCAAACTAGAGTCTGGGGAACAAATCTAATCAACCAATTGTTTTTAGAAATAAAGTTTTATTAGAATGCAGTACTGCTCATTCACTGAAATAGTATCTGTGGCTACTTTCTCCCCACAAAAGCAGAGTTAGGTAGTTGTAGTGGACCATACATTTCATAAGCCTAAAATATTTGCTTATAGGGCCCGCTACAGGAAAACACTGCCAATTTCTGAAATAGATGTTATCAATTTTACTTTTATTTTCAGTTGAAAAACATAAGATAACCAGTCTATTGTGATAGATGCTGTTCTGTAATTGTCCTTGAATGACAATAAAAATCTCATGAGTTAAGTTCTAAGCCTATCATGAATGACCTTAGCCATGATAAAGATGTATAGTTCCAGGGGTGCCTGGGTGGCTCAGTCGGTTGAGCGTCTGACTTTGGCTCAGGTCATGATCTCATGGTGTGTGGGTTCAGGTCCCGTGTCAGGCTCTGTGCTGACAGCTCAGAGCCTGGAGCCTGCTTTGGATTCTGTGTCTCCCTCTCTCTGCCCCTCCCCCCGTTATGCTCTGCCTGTCTCTGTCTCTCAAAAATAAATAAATGTAAAAAAAAATTCTTTAAGAGGAAGATATATAGTTCTTACTCTATGGCCCATATCCTATAACAAATAGCAAAGTCACAATATGTGGATTTTAGAAAGCTTAAATTAATTGATGAAACTTGGATTTTGACATGCATTATTTCAAACTGAAGAATAAGAAAAATAAAAGGGACAGAGTACATTTAGCTTAAATATCTGCTCCACAGATGGGCCTTCCCTAATAGCCTTCTTGGAAGAACCATTGCAATCAATTCCTAGTCTCTTCCTATTGCATCAACAATGTTATTTAATTAATAGCATTTTCCACAAGTTTCAGCTGTCATGTTAGTTAGCTTGTGTACCTTCTTCCAAATAGATCTAAGTTCCATGAGGACCAGGGTTCTGTCTGTCTTGTTCATCACTGTATCTCCAATGCCTAGTACAATTAGTGCTCAAATATTTGAAGAATGACAGATAGTGAAAAAGGTCGGGGAAGGAGACCAAAGAGAATAAATTGTATTTTCAAGAGATAAAGAACTAAAAGAAAAGCCTTTTGGACATAGGAAAATAATGCACATAGCAAAGAAAATGCTTGCTTTGCTTTTCCATTGTTTATTGCCATAATAGAATAAACAGAAAGAAATAAAATAAGTCATCCTCAAAGAAAGAATGCAAAAGGAATATGTTTTCAAAAGTATCATTCTTCTAAATATTGATCACTTCTTTCACCTAAATCAGTCATTCTGATTTAGAACAAATTCTAACATAAAATTATTTTATAATGGAGGGGATAAAATAAATATGGTCTTAAACCTATAATTCCTGAACATTAGGATTTCAAGGGACTGGCAGGAATAAATTTCCATTAAGAGCAAACTAAAATTGAACTACTAAATAGGGTTTGGGTCTAAAACTGAGCAAGAGCAAAATGGTTTAATGAGTCATGAAATTTTATGAAACTGGTAAAAATACTTTATCTAAATAGCAGTCTCTGAATCCAAAATGATGCTATCTTGTTTTCAGAAATAATCCAGTTATCTTTGGACATCATCAAAAGTTGCAAGGACAACTTTTGCCTGGAAAAGTAATGAGAAGTTTTAAGTGTTTTGAGATTAGAGTCCATGTATGGTTACCTTGATGTCCTGCTACAAACACAGTGCTAATCGAGGTCACCCACTCAACAAATAAAGGGATAAGTATTTCTCAGAAACACTACTCTGTAGCAGATTCTGTCATACATTGTAAGGCACATTTCCTTCTAGGGTATCTCACTCTCATGGGGAAGGCAGGTCAGCAAACACACTACTTCTCTCATGTAAGAACCAATACAGAAATAACCTCAGAGTGCTAACAGAGATAGACCTTAATAGACATGGACAAGTTATCTCTGTCCATGTCTATTAAGCATGGAAAAGCAATGCCTATTTACTCAGTGTGCTGCAACAATGGAGTCAACCTCCATCACTCAGGTTCCGCAGAGACTCAAAGGCAAGAAGAAAACAATAGCTTTATAGTGGAACAAAGGGAAGGCTTTAGGCATGACATAACTGGAGCTTATGGTCATGGGAAATTTGTAGATGGGCTAACTAAAAGTGGGCATCCTATGTGATCAGTTAGACACTGCACAGTTGGCTCTTTCCAGTTGGTCCTAGGGTGGGAGCAGGGGCAAAAATAAGAAAAGCTGTCAGTTATATGTAGATCTGGTCATTT